AATGAGTTTCCTACTAGTAAAAAAATCCTGCAAAAATTATTTGCATTCAGTAAATGACAACAAAGTAATGACTGAAACTGTCTTTCAAAGACAATTGAATAGAACATTTATTATGTCCCTAATAAATATTATTCACAGTGGACAGAACCAGTATTCTCTTGTTCCCTGTCTGCAAGTCTGAAGGTAGAGCTAATCAAGACTGGTCTCAGTTCCTACTGCCATATCATGTCTGTGCTTATAGTACTCTCTGGGACTTGGCCACTCTCTCTTGCTTTTCTTGCAACTCGTTCTCTCCTCTGCCCAATTTGCATCCTGTTAAAGATAGTGGTGTGTGAAGAATCACCAGGATGTATACAGCAGAATGTTTTAGGAGCTATACTAGGCATACTGCTGTAATGCCTTCAGGTTAGGAGCCTGGCTAGAGAAGTGATTCGTACAACTGAGAGCATATTGAATAGGCACAGCTGGATTCCTAGGATTCAGTCTGCAACAATCCAGTGGGCTGTAGGAGCACCTAAATCAAGAAATAGGATTTCTTCTGGCTTCCTGTTTCTTGTTTTAAAAAGAAGTATCATTCTTGGCTATATTTCCATGAGATTATTTTGTTACACATTGCTCTTAATTTGTAGAAGTTGGTTTGAGTCATAAATATCCTTCTGTGAGGTTTAAAGAAGACAACAAAACCCTTGTTTTCTTGAGTATTTACAGATATCTCCCACTCCCTTACTTATTTCGGCAGGTGGGAATGACACTGTAATTTCGACTACTTTAAAACCCTCACAGACCAGTAGCTTTTCAGAACATTTATTACATTTTATGCATAGTTCATATGTTGTGTTTAAACTAATTAAACTCTGTGGTGTATTAATGGTAAGGCACTTGAGCAGGCAGCCCAGGGTAGTTGTGGATGTCCCATCTGTCAAATTATTTAACCAAATATAATCTATATATTCTGAATCACTGTGCCTATCTGTTCTAGTGTCTAGTTTTTATAAATTCAAAATTCAGAGAATTTAATCCCACTGAATTCCAACTCAGAAAAGAGAAAATTTAATCAGCAAATAATGTAATGACTCAAATCCATAGCAACGTAGATTCCCTGTTCTGGTTTTATCAGCAATTTTAAATTAAATCATATTCATAAGGGATTTAGAACTTGGTGATAAAGGCTAAGGCCATAACTTGGCTTAGACTGAGATTATGGGGTGATAGTTGTTTCAAGGTGTAAGAACACTAAATGTATATAGATGCTGACTATTTTAAGGTGTACAAATACTAAATATGTACAATCTGATTTTATACACGTATACACGCTTATATTTGTGGCTCTTATTGGAGAGGAGAAGTATAAGGGGGAGAAAATTGCTGTCCAGTTTAATTTAGCTGCAGAAGTACATTACAAATCATAAGGTAATTTTTTGCTATTTTTCGCTATTTCTACTGCTGACTTATTGTGTATTTATTTTTTTAGTTCTGTGTCATTTGGAAGCAGCAGAATAAAAGACTGCTGTCACAATGGATTAGAAAAACAAAATAATTTTTCTTATGATTTTAATGAGTCACTTTCTAAATTTTGCATTAAAAATAATTTTGTGGTAATCTCACAGTCAAACCTGATGAGACTTTTATTTTTGTGTCATACAATATCTTACAGTAAACTAATATGAAGATATTTGAAGGCATACCCAGATAAAATTAATTAATGATTAATTAAAGGACTCAAATTGGACAAGTGTTGATGCTAGTTTTAAGGTTTCAGGTTTTGTTATTATTTGGTTTGTTATTCTAGGTATTCTAACTCTTTTTCATGTTTATTACATTTTCAAGAAATAGGAATTGCCCCTGCCAAGACTTTGAGACTGTTCTATTTTTCCCTCATCTCTGTGAGAGAAATGATGATAAAGAATTATCCTCACAACTCCTTGAGCAGCGCAGAAGAGCCTAAAATAGCTCTGAGCTGGCCTGCATTTCTCAACTCCATCACTGAAATGCAAAAGAGCTATGTTTGCATGACACTGAATATAAAGACTAATTAGCAACAATGGATGTGTCACCTTGGCCTGGACCTGTAAGCATTGATCCTGGAGTCAGCTGGGATATTTCAGAGTTTCATTCCCTGGTTTGATAAACAACTACTAAGAGCGAGGGAAATTAAACAGTTATTTCAGCGCAAACCAGGATTTATTCTACTCAGTCTTTAATAAGATTTGAGAAGCAAGAAGTGGATTTATGAAATCTGGAGGCATGTTCCTTACTTCAATGAGTTATAGCAAGGGAACACTAAGCCCCCATTTACCCTCAAACACCACTGTATATCCTAGTTAAGGAACAATGAAATATTATCCTGTTATCACATACTGATCAGCATTTTATACAGAATGCAAACTGCTGTAATGTAATCTTTCTTCCTGTTGCTCCAACAGTGGTTTTTAATAATTCTGATTCACATTGCCTTTACACTGACTTCAGTGGACATACTCATATTCTCGATGAGTGCAAGGACTTACTCAGAAACACCTAGTGTCTTTGTTCTGATTTTTTTGAGAATTGCTAGGATATACCCCAAACAAGTGCCCTGAAATTTTTTGTCTTAGCTGACACAGAAATACAGGAAAAAATGTAGGTCACTACCCCAAGAAGCTGAGACCCTAAAGGAAAGAAAAGATTCCATTTCTAACACACACTGGAAAGTGGTGAAAAGAATTATCTGTTTTCAAAATCAAAAGTAAACTTTCTTTTTTCTTTATTTCTTTGTCTTTTTGTTGTTGATTCTTTGGAATCAATACAGCATAGAACAATTAAAGTTTAAAAAACCCTAAAAAATCAAAGAACTTTTTATGCTCCAACATGCACCAAAGGCTATGCTTATGGTCCTGTCAAGGGATGTGTTTTTCTTATAGTCTTGGTTTGACTGATAACGTGATTGAAAAAAAAATGTATTTCATCCCTTTATTTCTCCATTTAGAGATAATTAATGGGAAGATTTTACTTTATTTTTTGTTCTTTCTTTCTGGATTTTTTTATCTCTTTTTTTCCCCCTGAAATACCTGCTCTCAAAGTAAAAAGATACTACTGGCTACAGCTCCAGTTTTCAAGGTTAAATCTGGGTATGATATTAGTCTGTGCTTGCTTGTCCCTAAGACGATTCTGCAGCTCAGACTAGGATCCCAACTAGCTTTACTGCTTTTTCCAGCTTGAACTCTTAAGATCTCCTTAATCTTATTTAAGTCTACAAACAGCTTATATTTAGCTGAAAAGATGAGGTGGTTTTGTGTAGGAAAATGTCAAGCCCTCTTGCTATTCTATGGTAGAGCAAAAAGGCTTACTCTTTGGCTTTCCTGGGTTTTAAAACTCCTTTATTTTGCAAAGTAAGTGACATGCTGCCATCTGTTGGCAATGAGAAATTATTTCTTCAAGTGATTTAAGGAATACAAATCTTCAAATTCTTAAGGAAGTTTGTTTGATGATATTTTCTCTTCAATAAAGCCATAAGTTTATCTGAGCAGCATAAACTTGCAATGGACGATTCAATTATATCTTATAATTTACTTCAGGATCCCTGTGAAATCCTTGTTACATACAAAGTCCTATCACAAAGCTCAACTACAACCTCCAAATTTCTTCTCAGCTAAAAGCCTGAAAAAACTTAAATTTCCTTAAAGACAGAGAAAAAAGTGAACCCTCTCAAAGGATTTTGAATGTTCTTGACAACTAGCCAAACAAAAATGTATTTTTCCAGATAGTCTTTTGGTCCTGACTCTGAAAAGTTTAAAAATATAAATGTTGAAGGACTTGCATGGAAGTGCTGTAAACTTAGAAACTCTTAAGGATGAAAGCTTTTGTTCTTTTCTTTGTTTTTGAAGTAGTATATTTTATAAGAAGCAAAACAAGGGAACAAATATGATAACTGTTGGGTGGCTCTAGGTGATTTGTACTTGTGAATTTTGTTTCCTTCTTCATTTCCAGTTAAATCCATTATGTACACAGCCATATCATCTGAAGAATATATCTTTATCATTTCATGATGTAATGTCAAAAAGGAAAAGAAAAAACAAAATCAAGTGAGCTCTGTTTAATCAGCTGAGAATCATAACTCAGTTCAAACTTGGCCTTCCCTGCTGAAGTGCTGGCCAAAGTTTCAGTGGTGTAGTGACATTCTGCAACCAGAGAAAACAGGTTTTACAATGAAATATCTGGTTGAACAAACGTAGTTGTCAACAGCAGCACCTAATGACTATTTGTTAAGATGAAGGGGTGTATAATGTATTTTTGATTTATAATTCATACTTCACTTGCACATAAGCAAATAGAGAAAACAGTCTCTGTGGCTAAGTAATCACATCCAATTATACAATCCAGGCCATTTCAAGTGACCATTTCAAGGTTTGTGTATCAGCTATTAAACTATTTTGTTGGCAGAATGTTTGAAAACTGAAATACAAATAGAAATTAATTCTGCTATCCTGACTCTTGTGTTGTCACTTAATCTGAACAAGATGAATATCTAGGAAATACTGGCATAAGTACTGTTGCACCTTTCTATTCAGTTGTTTTAGTAAATATGAACATGCTCAAAGCACAGGGCAGCATCAGACCTTACAGGTCATAAAAGTATGCTTAGTAAAATACAGTTCCATCCATTAGGATAATTGGTAGATAGATAGAACACCACTGTTTTGTTTTCAAATTACTGTTTTCTTTTCCTCGGTCATATATTTTCCTTCTAATACCCTTGTTTTCTAGCATATAAGAGAAGCATATTGAACTCGTGGCCTTGTTGCTAGGTTTCAAGCTGCATTTATGCAGTCTACTGAGACATTCTTCTCATTTTTGAATTCTGAATCAAGTCCCAAGGCAACAGTGCCCTGTTTCTTAGCAACACAGATGGGTAGACTGCGTATTCCAGCTCTTTCGTACAATGGAAGAATAAACAATTCCCTGAGTAAGTGTGTGCTGCAAGTCCATTGCTTCACTTAATTTCACAGAGAAGAGAGGAAAGGGAAGCCTTCTGTGGTACAGCAGATGAAGTTTGTCTTGAAGTCCCTCTCTTTGCAGAGTGGTGAGTCATATCTCTATTTTTTCTATCCTCTGCATCTCTCTGGGGTCTTTATTCACCACTGTGCATATGGAACTGTAGGTACTTTGGATCAGTGATTTCAGTTTCTAAGATACAAATGTAGGTAACAAAGCTGGCAGAGGTGGGATGTGTGAAAATACACAGACTTTTTGCTCTGGTGAAATTAATGGAGAGTCATAGAATTGCATAGCTTTAGAAAATCTGGGTGAAAACCCTTGATTTTAGGAAGGAAATTAGGGCTGGAGAAAATAGAGGCTTGAGAGGTAAGGGGGAAATGTGTATTCATGCAACTAACATGTTAGCGGTCTGTTACCTGTGCTTGAAATGGAGAAAAGTTATCCTTTTAACAGAATCTCTGTAAAGTGTTAGGCAGTTTTGAGTCTTTTTGGCAACATAATCAAACTCCAAATTTTGCTGTTTCCGGACTGTGCAACTAACATTGCCATGGAGAGGGAGGAGAACAAGGGAGAGAAAAGGGGGCAGAGAAGGCCACACAGCTCGGCAGAGCTGATCATTCCTGCTTCTGGTGCCTATGGAGGGGCAGGTGCATACATCATCTTTTCATGATGGCAACAGCAGCAATGCAAAGTTTCAGTACAATTTTGGCACAGAGTAGAAGAACGGAAACACTTGTGCTATTCATCCCACTGACCTTGGCATGTACCTGTTTTGCCTAGACCTAAAGCTGGCCTAGTCAGTCTGCCGTATCTGAGTTTAGTTGCAAAACAAGAAAAGGCTGCTTTACGTGTATAAAGTATCAACTGCCAATTTTTTTCCAAAATCTATTAAATCATGAAGTAAACACAGCAGCTGGCTATGGTGGGACTGCTGGTTTGCCTGTAGACTGCCCACACACACTTGATGGGAAGCCTGGGCCACCTTAGAACACAGAAGCAAAGTTCCCATTCAAGCCTGCTCACCTCCTCCTAAGCAGGAATGGGGCCAGGCTGTGCTTCAGTGTTTGGATAGCCTGGGTATAACCTGTGAAGCAGTGACTGAGTTTTGGCCCCTTCCCAAAGGCTGTCCTGCAGCAGGGATCTGCTGCAGCTGGAAGTGTTCCAGCTGTGTGGTGCTGGGCAGGTGTGTGCCTTGGCAGCACAGCACAGCTGAGCATGGCCTGGGAACCAAAATCACCTAGGAAAAAGAGCACAGAAATGTGACCTTCCAGAAGTAATTTGTGGGTACTTGATTTATCTCCAGTAAGCTGCCCACCCAAATCCTTGCTCAGAAACACAGTTTTGTTGGTAAGGACATACTTCCATATGCCCTTATCCTTCAATGGGCTATGACCTTCTTTTAGAAAAAAAAACATTCTGTTCTCAGAATGAGTAAGTACAAAGAAGAGAAAGTTGTAATGAAGCTTTCCTTCAGGTTTCCTGAGCATTGAGTATTAGAGTAGGAAAAATATTGTTTGTATTGTGTTTGGGCCTGCTGCAATACCATTATGATCCACATCTTTCTTCCAGATTTTCAGGGCATAAAAGGAGCTCTTGTGTAAGAAAGGGAACAGTCTAGGAGCAGCTTTTAGATCACAGAGAAAAAACAGAAAACATGGATAAGGTAGTATCTTTGTCCAGTTTCTGCACAGAGCTAAATACTTGAGTGCCTATTTGGGGTGTTAATGATGCTCCAATGCTCTTTCATCCTGCTCAGAGGCATCCTTGGGTGTAGGAAGGGGCCTTCCTCTACCTCTGAGCAAAAAGATGAAGCTCATGGCACTGGCTGATGAGTTAGCCCATGGCAGGATATAACACCTGGGCATATATTAAGATAGCTCTAATTAACATTGTGACCTGGGTGTGCTCAGGAATGCAGAGAAAATTTAAAATGCATCAGGATGAATGGAGAGCAGAGTTTCAACATTCCCCTCTTCTGTGTTTTTTTTTTGTCACTTCTACTTGTATAAGGTGAGACTAGTTTGCATGCAGTTTTGCCCCACTGTAACCCCAAACCCCTGCTGCACTGCCCTGCACGTGCACAGGGATGTCAGGGAGGTACTGCTTAAAGAGACAGGAATTAAAATATGAAAAATTAAAAAATGGGAAAGGGTGTATTTGTGTTGTTACATAGTGATGAGTATTTCAGATAAAATAAAATTCAGAGCTCCTGTTCCTACATCCTATGAATGTATAAATTCCTAATATCCATGCTTTTGACTTCAGATGGGCTTTCTCTAGGCTCAGGAGTTTTCTTCATCAGATTACTTTGCAGAAGTGAAAGACAGAACCAAAGAGCAGTACTTCTTCATCTAAGCACAGGTATAAAATAATATTCAAGTACAAGCACATATTTATCTTTGGTGAATGTGCTGGGTTGTGCAGACAAGTATAGTCAGACTGAAAGTAGCAATCAGTAATAAATGTACTGTTTTATATGTGTATGTCTGTGTGTTGGGTTTTTCTTTTTCTTTTGCCAGTGATTGCAATATTTGAGAAGAAAAAATGAATCATCAGGCCATTATATTCATCCTCCATCAAGAAGAGAGAAAATTTTTATTTGAAACTCAAGGAAAATTTTCTGCAAGCCTTGGATGGCCTTCCTCTCAACAACAAACTGCAGTGCAGCAATCCAAAGGCAACACAGATTTATGGCTAAAACAACCTCCTGATTTTAGATATCGGCTCTATAAGTCATCCTACCTTCCTCAGAAGTCACAAGGAAAGTGAAAAGAGGAACTGAAGCCAAAAAGAATCTCTGAGGCCACAGTCATGCCTGAGCTGCACTTAGGGTTAGGGTTATGCTTAAGGTTAGGGTTGAGAAAAACCACAAACCCAAGGGTTTCAGGGACAATGACTATACAAAAGGCATGCCAAGGGGGGCACAGCACTGCCCAACATTTCTCCCTCCACACCTTTTACCTTGGCAACACCTATGTGTTTGGCATATCGGCCTCAGCCATAGGGAGCTTTTACTGCTCCGTTTAGGCTTAGGGTTACGCTTAGGGTTAGGGTTCAGAAAACCACAAAGGCCAGAGCTGCAGGGACACTGACACTACAAAAGGCATGTCAAGGTGAGCATGGCACTGCCCCAGCATTATTCCCTTCACAACTTGCTCCTTGGCACCACCCATGATTGGTGGTTTAATCTGAATGCTATTTACATCGTACCTGATGTGAAAACTTTCTTTAGGTGCTGTACTGACATGATAGGAAGCCCAGCAATTCATTTGACAGATAATGAGGGGATAGAAACTTATATGATTTGGGTTCAAGGGCCTCTCCCTTGTAGGTGGGGTAGACCACTGGCTTCCCAGGAAAAAACTCCAGCTAAACTGGGCTTTTTTGAGCTTTAATACATAAAAGCAGTACCACAGTCCTGGGGCTGCCATTTTCCAGTTTTCTTGGATGAAGAGGAGCCTCACATGGAGTGTCAGCTCTGCCCACCTGTCCTGGGGTGCCTTTATGATGTTTGTATCCCCAGTCATCTGATCTGTTTATGCTCCATATTAAGTTCTGCGCCTTTAAGACTGGTTCCGAGAGCCAAGGGGGGAAAGAAGAAGCGCACAGCTTGTTTTCAGAAACGGCACTCACTGCCCCACATGCTTCTGCAGGCTGTGCTGTCTGCAGCACGGACAGACAGCGGGACAGAGCTCTCCTGTGCTTTCAGTTAGTTTTTAGTTAGCTGAGGCAGTGAAGTTCCCCGGACTGTGTTTTTTTTCTTGGATCTGTTCAAACCTGCTCTGGACTGAAACCCCAGCCAAACCCTGTGGCCCACCAGGGCCTGGGCCTCGGCACTTTCCCGAGCCAGAAGGACTGGTAAGGGACTGAGTGGGCCGAGCTACACCCCTCGACAAGGACTTTTCTGGATTTGCCCTCTCTTCGAACAGCAAGAGGTTTTATTGCTTAGTATTTATATATATATATATATGCGCTTGTAGATACTTTTCTTGTTAAATAAAGTTTTTTCCACTTTTCTCCAAGGAAATCTTTTCCCAAACAAGTTGGCGGAGGGGCCGCTTGAACTTGCTTTCTGTAGGGACCCCTTTGGAGGTTTTCTCCCAAATTTGCCCTAAACCAGGACACCCCTCCTCGCCCTTTTCCCCCTGCAGTGCTGCTTCTTCCCTGACTGTGTGTCCTGTCCGCAGCGTTCCCCTGCTGCTCCACCGCTTGCCCGAGGTAGCCGGTTTCCCCGGCGGGGCGGTCGCGGCCTGCTCGCAGCCCGCCGCCGCCGTGGTGCCTGCGGCGCTGCCCGGAGCCGGCCCGCAGCGCCAGCCCGTTCCGGCCACCGCCAGGGACAGGCTGCTCACAGCACGCACGGTCCGTCCGCCGAGCAGACACCTGTGCAGCGTCAAATGCTGTCCTTAGCTTCTCTCGTCGTCTCTCGTTTTCCTTCTCTGTGCCCTGTTCTATATCCCTTCAGTAGGAACACCTGTCTACCAATAAATTTCTTCTGCCTCATGTCATCCCACTCTGTTTAATTGGTTTCACTTCAAAACGATTTTTTTTTTTTTTTAAATGGCATTTAATTTCTTCAATTTCTTCTCCTGTCCCTTCATTTCACTTGGTTTCCTGATTTCGAGATTTGAATGAGCATAATTTTAGCAAATTTCAGTCCTTGGAACTGGACCTGATGTCATCCCAGTCCATTTCCTCGTATTCACTCTGTAATAAATGGACTGGATTTGTGATAACTAAATTGTAACTATTTAGAAAGTTATTATTAGAAGCAAACAAGAGAATCAGTGTTACAAGACAGATGTACCCCTTTACAGATGTTACATGTTAAAACTGTGGTACAGGATGTGGTTTGGAAGATAAGTGATGTCCCAAGACGAAAACAGCCTTGAGATGGACAAAATTAGAAAAACTGTAGGCATAGGGCCTAAAAATCATTAAATGTAAGACTAATTAGTGGACTTACATAACACAACACTTAGTATGCACACGCAAACCTGTGAGGCTGTCCAGAGGACAGCGAGGATGAGCATAAGCCTTTGTCCAAAGACCACCAGAAGAAGACCCCATAGCAACAAGTGAGGCATGTGCCTTGAAGAATAGTGACGTAAAGTCAGAAAACTTGGAAATAGGAGGAAACTTACAGGAAACATTAATGAATATGTATAGCATGAAGTGCTTTGAAGTGCTTTGAAGTGCTTTGTTTTGTAAGTGAGGCAGGGTGGGAAGCCTCCATACCCCAGTCGGTTTTGTGCATGAGGTGGGGTAACAAGCCCTCCCTGTACCCTGGTCAGTTTTGCTTATGCTTCAGTCATACTTAATTGCTGGCAAATTATATATATAAATTGTATTTTTTTGCTAAATTGTATTCTTTTGCTAAACTGTATTCTTTTATACCGAATTATTATTCAATTTACTAAATTGTATTAATTTTTAATTAAACTGCTGTTAACTCAAGGGACCTAGTTGTCAAAATTCTAATTTCGTTTATAACAACTCCATTTCCAAATTTGCTTTATTTTTTTAAATTGCATTTGATTTTACCATATCTCCTTTCCAGAGTGCGTGATACACTTTGTTCTCTGATGTCAAGATTTCATTTCCTTTGATAAAATCAAGAATATCCATCTTGTGATTTCAGTGAGGATCAATTCAGCAAGGCTTGGTCCATCTCCTTGCACTTCATGTTATCCTAATTCATTTCTTTGTATTTTATCATATTTCCATTCCAGAGTGTTTGTTACACTTTATTCTCTGATTTCAAGATTTAATTTCCTCTCATTTCATGAAAGGAAACGAAACCTTGTGATTTGAATGAGTATGAATTTGACAATGTTTGGCCCATTTCCCAGCTCTTCATGTCATCTTTCCATTTTATAGTTTTCTCTTTGTTTCAAATTTTTTAATGGTGTTTCGTTTCTTCAATTTCTTTTCTTTCTCAATGGTTTTGGTTCTAGGCATGGTGGCTTTTCTAATGTTAAAATGTATTTTCCTTTCAGTAGTGCAGAATGAAGCTAATTTACCAAATTCTGTTACAGGTTACCCCAGCACTCCTTTCAATCTGAAGTTAAAACCACGGCATTTAAACATAGGTGAGTCCTTCACAACATGCACATTTATTGTGTTAGAGAATTTAGGAACATTACTTCAACATTAGGGAACAGGAATAAGAGCGCAGAACCCTCAATCCTGTCTTAAGTGGCCTTAGTGAAACTTGAAGACCAAAGAGTAGTTTTTCCCCTTAGTTTCAATATCAGAGAAATTCCACTTCCAAGCTCTAAATGACAGACTCAGATCGCAGAAATTACACTAGTTCACTCATACAAGGACACTTAGATTTAAGGACACCTGATACAAGCAGGATTATTAGCTGAAAATTGCTCGTTAATGTTGATTTTTCTGATAAGACTGTAATTTCAGCCTTGTAATGGGGGTTATTCCCAGTTACTGGGATTCAAGTCCAATGTCTGCTGTATTCATTGTAGATATATTAGTCCATATCTGCATTTCTACTGTGGTGGATGGTCCAGAATGGGGTGCCTGCCCTCCAGTGTTTCTATAGCTTTACCTCCTACAAGGACAACTTATTTGAAAATAATTAACTACACATAAGCTAAAGTACACACACATACATACCATGTAGCATAAAACACTACTTTCTTTGTAGACAAAGGCAAAGGCAAGGCTTTGTTCACAGCAGTGCCATAGACAGAATATTTTTTGCTTATAATGTTTACTATATATGTCTGAGTGCTCCTTTTTCTGGATTCTAGCTGATTAACAATATGCATAGCTTTTCAAATCCTAAAATCCAGAGAGTTTTTCCTATAGCTTATAAATACTGTTTGCTTGATATTTTCAGATCCTGAACTTGAACCACTGAAAGGAAAGCAAAAGGACTCTGACAGGAGATTTTTTACATACAAGCCTTATGAAAGCAAGTGGGATCCACAGCTGCTACTGCCAAAGAGTCCCTGGCCACCTACATCTGCTTTATTACTGGTTAGTCAAATTAAAAGACAACTTATTGCTTTCCTCAGCATCAAAATATTTTGAAATAACAGCAATAATAACAACAACAATAATAGTTTTATTTACTTCAGAATATTTTGAATCACCCAGTATTGAGAGGATATCTGGCATATCCTAAGGGAACTGTCACCATACTGGAGATCTAGGGAAATGGACTGTTCATTTCCTTTAGCTTTTCAAGAGTGTGATTCTTTCTCTAGCTCTTGTTGAGAGCTTTAATGGAATTGAAAAGATAGTCTGTTGTAGAACATTTTCTTATTTCGGACTTTAGAAGAAAATTACCCAGTATTGCATGTGGTAATTCATTCTTAGGAATCAAAATGTCCATATTAGACTGTTCAAAGACACAGACTATTTCAGAATAAACAGATGCTGGATGAATGTTTTTATGGTTTATATATATATTTATGTATATATGTATTTATATATACACACCAAACTCTTAAATGTAGATGTCTCCAAACCAGAATGGCTTTGCTTATAAAACAGCTTCAATTTTCATTACTGAAGATTAACAAATAGAGCATTGAGGGGAAAATAACATATATATGACTGTAAATACCAGCACAGAGCAGAAACACACTAAATACTTTGTATGGTATATTAGTGAGGATTTCCCTTAGGCCCCAATTTCTGAAATAGCATGGAAATATCTTTCTACTTAACAAATTCCCCTCTAACACCTCTCACTATTCCTAAAAATTAGTTACCAACATTTCCAAATCACTAATTCTTTTCTCTAATCAGTCCCTCAATTATCTGGAGATAAAAAAAAAGGGCACAGCCCATCAAGCTCCTAGTAACTACTACAGGTGCTGAGTGTGACCATGAGCTTACTTTGGAAACCGCCTGTCCTCTACACCCAGGAGCTGGGGATCAGCAGACTGCCAAAATAAACCCTCATACATTCCCTCTTCCTTCAGTAGATACATCTGCTTTGCTCTTGACTCTGATTACTAGGAATGGACTGCTGAAATCTCCGAACAGTCAGGTAGTTTCAATTCCTTTTCTAAGCAGTGTGTGTGGATGTTGAGTGTGACAGGGGGAAGGACTTTTTAGTCACAGTCTGCATTGCTGAAGGCTTTGGAGGTGTATCCAGAGCTATATTTAGACACAAATCTCTAGACTTAAACTGTGTGTAAGCTGCATGGTAAATGCACCCCAGGAAGTGATTTAACATAGAAAACTGCATTTTGGATCATTTTGCCTTTTCCAAAGACAGTGAGCTATGTACTACTGTGGAAAGCTAGGGAAACTAGTAAGAATCCTTTATGTGAGGATCTGCACACTGTTGTGGAGGCTGGCATTTCTCCAGGATTTCCCAGATGCAGCACTTGAAAGTAAAAATTGTGAAAGGTGTTGACAATAAAAAAGTTCATATTTTTTGTTCAAGAGAGCTTCCTGTCAATTGCAATGAATCTCCAGATGTTGTTTGAAATTTGCAGTTCTGTAAATTTTAGAAAGGACAAAGTCCTCAGTCTGCTTGTAAATTACTCATTTCCTGAGTGCCACGCAAACTCAGCCCAGTAAAAGGTGATTTCTCTGTGCATGGCAAATGAAAGGCTAGGGACAAATTAAAATTCAGAGGTTGTTAGGATCTGGAGCTCTTGTTAGACCTTGGTAGACATAATCATAAGATAATAGCACTGTATCTATATTAATCATTGATTATGATAAAGTTTTAGCTGGACCTCCCCATAGTGATAGGAATGACAGTATAACCAAGTGACACATGTGGAAGTCCTTCAAAGAAATTATATTGACTTGGTCTTTTGACAGATGGAAAAATGGAGGCACAGAGCAGATAGATTAATTGCCCCAAAAGCCTGAGGGAAGAGTCAATTTCAGAAAACTCTTCCAAGTAAATTTGATCTCTTATAACACTTGTGAAGGCATTTCTAATGCTCCCGAGGAAAAGAGGAATGAACATTGTCCTTAACCTCTGTGCATGACACATCATCTTTAAAAATGTGGGTGTCTTCATTATGACCAACAAGATGGAGGTAGCCCCTTGTTATAGTCTGTAGTGCAGAGTGAGACACGTGGACATGTTACAGACACTCATTTCCTGGCTTAGGCAACTTTACTCTTTCACTTAGAAGATTCAGGAAAAAAACCAAAGGGTGCTCTGCAGTGAGGAGAGCACAATTTCTGGAGACCTTGGGGTACAAAGGTTATTAAGGAAACAAAGGTACCTACAGTAAATCTACGCATGGATAATCCTCTTTACTCACAAATATACAATAAGAAATATCCTAAGAATATAAACAGAGTTTTTTTGAAAATGCTGGCTTGTTTTGTTTACCTGCTTTGTTTATGCTAAATACCTTTACCATATGTGATATATATAAAAGTAAGAAAAAAACAACTATTCTGGTTAAGAACACTGTGAAGAAACATAAAATTTTCTTTTCTTCCAATAGTACATCCTTGATGCCTTAAGTTTTAAGTTTTTCTGGTCTGTTTTGGCATGCAGCTTTATATTAAGGGTTACTAGGATCCTGGCAAGAAAGCAGCTCTTAGAGCATCAGTGCTACTGGCAGGACAGATATCTTGCTTCCAAGTTCCTACAGAGCTGTGACACTCAGCTGCAGCTGTTGTGAAAGGCAGCTGCAGTGCTGTTACCCATCTATCCAAGCAGAAGCCCTCATTACCTACCCAGGCTTACCAATACAGTGCAAGTGGCTTGATCTGAAAACGCTGATGATGCTCCTTTACAACTTGGAGACTGAGAGGCTCTCCAGAGAGCAGTTCTGCTTGCACTGCAATGTTGGCTTGGTGCAGGGTAGCAGCATGCAGCAGAGCCCGGCAGGACTGCAGTGTCACTGGCATTCTGCTGTGTCTGCGTCATTGCCCATTGCACTTTTATAGGTACATGTGGAAGAAGTGCAGCACCCAAACAGAGTGCTCTGACAGCTCTTCGTGTTCGCCTCAGATTAGCATCAACTTGTGCCCCTGTTACACACTCAAATTCAGAGTCCAAAGGGGCCTGAGACTGCCCTGCAGAGATGTTTGCTATTCAGGCTGATCTGCATCTCTGCTGACATATTTTGCAAAGCTCTTAAACTTCTGAGGAAGCTGAGTGTGGTTTTTGCACCAGGGGCTGGCTAAAGTGATGTTCTCATGTCTCAGCAATTAGGGATACAGGCAAAATCTCTTCATTCTTTTTACTTTTGCATGCTCATTGTGGGGGTGGAATGCACTGTAAATGCTGATGACAGCTATATCAGCCTTTGGGCTCACAGTCAACTTCAGTGTGAACACCTCTTAGCCCAGTATACGAATAACGCACAGTAGCCATCACCAAAAACGACACTGATCTAAAATCTGCTCCAGTCAGTCAGTATTTTTCCATTACCTTCAGTGTACTTTGAAACAGGCTTAATGGAGGTGAATTCTTTTGTTTTAGGCAGCACTATGAGATTGTTCCTTTAGAAACTGCTTTATGAAAACCTCTACAGCTTATATAGCTACAATGTGGATGCCTTGTGAAGTCCTAAAAGGAAGAAGCAGGTTTATAGGTTATCTGTAAATATCTGTGAATTCATAAATGACCAGAAGGACCAAGTGTTACACAAAAGAATGTTCAGATCTGTCACCCACACATACTGACTCTATAAAGACAAATCAGTAGATTCTGTAAGCTATTAATACTAGTGTTTTGTATATGCATAGAACTTACCCTATATATCTTTGTTATAAAACAAACTATAATAAAATCGATTTCAAGGTCTCTGCTCAGGAAATCCTCTGCTATCCCCCACATACTTCAAATTCAGTGTTATCTCTAAAACTGTTGTACTTTGTATTAGCTTTAGCCATGTCCACTGTGATTTCTGGAACTCATGGATAATTACCATGCAGGTTAAAGTCAGTGTTTGAATTAAACACAGGATGGACTTAATGATCTCAAAGTTATTTTCCAGCCTAGTTGATTCTGTGATCCTGTGACTCCTAATTCTAATCTAAGATCTGTCAATACTTCTATAACTTTGATTACATTCTTTACAATGAATTTATGCCCCTGTTCAACTAAAAGACATTTTTCTATATCTTTCCTCCATGACAAACCCATATATTTGAAAATTTTAGCATATACACTCAGAGAATTCAGGTTGTCATCAAATTTTAAGTACTATTGAAAGTGTTAGTATCTTTGTCACATTAAGCCTTTGAAATACCAAATTTTATGTCTTTCCTGTGAAACAAAATCATTTAAAAGACACAAATTAATCAACTTAACAATGTATTAAAAATCTAGCATTTAAAGAATTATTTATTAAAATCTTTCTGAGACCTGATTTACAAAAGATGGTAAAGATAGCAGGTTGGTCTGCAATAAAATAAAAAAATCTTGTATTGACCGCAATAAAAATTAATATAGTGGAAAAAACAGAAAAAATAATTTTCTGCTAGATACCTCTCTGCTTCATTGAATATTGCTTTGAGCGCTGCATTATACCTTATCATGTTGTGCTGATAACAGTGGGGTAATTTTATTACCTTAATAACACAACGGCAGTTAGCTAACATGTGCTATTGGGAACTATTGCACTTTCTATAAGGAAGAAAAATATTAATTTGTTTTAAATAAGGGACTGTTTTAAATAAGGTACTAACTGCATCCCAAAAGACACTTAGAGACCTGTGCAATGCTAAATAAAGGAGTGAAGCCAAATGAAAAATACTGTGGGATTACTCCTTTCACTTAGATGAGAATAATACCTTCTTTTCCTTTGACACCAACCACTATAACAGCTCAGGAAGTGCTGGGACTGTGCTCCTGAATTTTGTGCATGGTGAAGGACAATAAGCAGGGATGAGACTGGGAAAAGAAGAGGGAGCTGTGGAGTCATGAGGAGAGGGCTTTGGAAGAGGCAGTGAGATGTGCATAGTTAGAAAGGCAGCTGTGGCTGCAGGTTGCATGTACATGGTTCTTTTCACAAAGAGCCAGCTTAGTTTTAGTACCCTGGGATTTCCTCAAGTTACAAACCACCAGACAGTGTGTGAAACAGAAACTCTAGTCTATAACTATTTAAAACATCAAGATTTATAACATTGAAGTGCTACTTTTCTTCCACAGAGGCCTTTTCTTAGCTGGAAAAAGTCAGTCAAGGAAGTATCTGTCATGCAGATTGTACTGAAATTGTGCTTTGAAAAATAAATTTATCTGTAATAACGTGTTCTTCAACTGACTCTTTGACTATCATTTTTCACTTCATAAAGAGAAACAGGTTATTTTCACTTGCTTCTTAGAAGAAAATGCTAGTCAAGCAGTGATGGCTGTTTCTTGAGTGTTCATCTCGAGAGATGAATAGGAGAAAAACAATCGCCTGACAGCCACTGGAATGTCAAAACATGGAGCCATAAAAAGCTGTGTTCCTGTGTGTTGTTTTTCCTGTGAATAATTGTTCTTGTTGATGGTTATGTACTTTTGAAAGTAAATAACAAAATGTTACTAGTGAAAATAACTAAAAATGGAGAAAATCAAAGGATAGCAAAGGGATTTTTCTGTTCCCAACAGAGGAAATTTTCTGACTTCGTGGAAAAGGCAAGGAAGGAAAGGGGATATAATGGCCGTACTAGAACAAATGTTACAATATGCACCCGTCCTTCTGATTCCGTCCCTCTGATTATAGCTTTAAAAGCTGTCTGGCATGGCCTGTGCAAAATGTGAACCCTGTCATGCAGGAGCTGTGTAAGTGCGTCATTTGGCTACCTTGGATGGAGCAAGGAAAATACTTCTCTTGAATCCAGGAAGGACAAAGCCTTAAGTGCCTTCCATATCTGCAGTTTCAAGCACACTGTCCATACACCTAGTTTTCTGTTGCAATGTCACTGAAAAAAAAAGAGCCCAAAATTTATAAATTTATTTATTGACTATTGTGACAGGGTTTTGCGTGCTGTTGTTTGTTGGGTTTTGTTTCTTTTCTTCCTAGCATCACGCAGTATATCACAGTTTCACAACGCTGTAGGTCTTGT